AAAAGTAAAATTTTAATAATACTTTGTCTAGTATTGGAACAATATATGTTTTATTTAGAAACCTTCAAGCTGTGGAATATAGTGTGGTGATATTGTGAATATGTCTTACTGAATTTGGATATTATGAATTCAAATATGTAGGGAATGATTTTTGAATTTGGACTGTTCACTAGACGAGGAACTATGATCAAGGTGAAGACACTCACAGGAAAAGAAATTGAAATCAATATTGATCCTACTGATACTATTGAACGTATCAAGGAGCGGGTTGAGGAGAAAGAAGGAATTCCTCCAGTCCAACAAAGGCCCATTTATGCTGGTAAGCAGCTTGCAGATGACAAAACTACTAAAGATTACAACATTGAGGGTGGCTCTGTTCTTCACCTGGTTTATCTCAGGGGTGGCGGTCTTTAGATAGCTCTATGATATGCTTGGAATTTGTCCAATTTATCTGTGTTGTGTTATGAGGTACATCCTTGCTTTTATGAAAGAGCAAAAAATTGTTTGGACCATCATATTGTCTTATTAATATTTTGATCATTGTTCACAACAAAAAAAATTGCTCTGTTCTTCACTAGTAATATTGTCTTATTATATTCTGATCATTTTCACTTTTGTTTTGTACCTAATTTCTTTAATTGATTTGTATAGACTAAAGCTGGAAATGCTGTTAAAGCTGGCAAGAAGAAATGAGTTTTTAGGATATCAAGCTTTCCATGTTTGAAAATTGAATACAGAATTCTTTTTGCAGCCAAGTTTCTTATATTGTTTGTCATTTTCTCTAATTATTTTTTGTTGCCTTTTTTATTAGAAGAAATGCAATTTTGTGGAGTTTTTCAGGACCAAGAATTGAATTCTTAAATCACATTCACGGATGGGAAGGGAAACATTCAGTTTCATATGATTTATGTCATGATCTCTTGCATGCATGCATGGCTATGTTTATTCTGACTCCTGTTGGGTATTTGATGGTTGGCCTGTGATATTTTAGATTTGATGAGTTAAAAATTGTTAGCCATTTGGCTTTATTGATTGGGTCTTCAGGGTCTGCAGTATGTGTGTACAGGCTCTGCTCCAACTCCTATTTTAGGTTTGGTTGTGACTTGATGTTAGTTAATTCTTGT